CCCACTCCCAGAAATCTGGTTCATTTCTAACGAGTTTCCAGGTAATGCTGATGCTGCAGAGTGCAGTGGAAATTTGAAGAGGAATTCACTCCTGACTTTGTAACTTCACCATTGTTTGCAGTATTCTAAACAGCACATATTTCTTTAGTAATCAAAAAATTAAAAAGTTGAAAAGTGCATATTCATTGTCTTTTCAAGGATGTGTAACAAAATGGGCCAACTTTTCACTTGTGTTGATATTAGATTTATTTTGTGATGAAACTCATCAAACCTGTTTAATTATAAAATAGACATAAAATTGGAAAAGTTTTAAACATGGCTAAAGAGTCTGACCATCAATTTGGAATATTTAAAAGTAAAAATCTTGAGCTGGGTGCAGTGGTTCATGCCTGTAATCCCAGCATTTTGGAAGGCCAAAGTGAGCGGATCCCTTAAGGTCAAGAGTTTGAGACCAACCTGGCAAAGATGATGAAAACCTCCTCTCTACTAAAAATATAAAAATAAGCCAGGTGTGGTGGTGTGCACGTGTAGTCTGAGTTACTTGGGAGGCTGAGATGGGAGGATCACTTGAGCCCAGAAGGTCAAGGCTGCAGTGAGCTGAGATCACATCACTGTACTCCAGCCTGGGTGACAGAGTGAGACCCTGTCTCAAAAAAAAGAAAAAAGAAAAAGAAAAAATATTGAAAATTAAACAAAATAGCTAGAAAAAAGATGCTTAAAAGTCATTTAAACAATCTAAAAAAATTAAATCTAAAAAAAATCTGGGTGTGGTGCCTCACACTTGTAATCCCAGCACTTTGGGAAGCCAGGAGTTCAAGACCAGCCTGGCCAACATGGTGAAACCCCACCCCTACTAAATACAAATTTTAGCTGGGTCTGATAGCAGGTGCCTGTAATCCCAGCTACTTGGGAGGCTGAGGCAGGAGAATTGGTTGAACCCAAAAGGCAGATGTTTCAGTGAGCTGAGATCATACCACTGCACTCCAGTCTGGGCAACAGAGAGAAATTCCATCTAAAACAAACAAACAAACAAACAAAAATCTAAATAGAGCTTCATGGAGATCATGAAACATCCATATTTTTAATCTTTTAATTTTAGAACCAGAGACAAAATTTAAAAGTAATATAACTCATCCCCTCAACTGAAGGCTCAACCAGGGCCAGGGCAGAGAAGATGATGCACATGTTTGAGGCCAGTGGGGCCAGAGTCCAGAATACAGTGAGACTGGTTACATACAGTGAACTCAGCAAGTAAGTACATACATTGAGGTTAATGGGAGCACAAGTCCCTATTGTTAGAGGAGGGAGGGAAACACATAGAAAGGGGAAAGACTGAAATAACTCTGTGGTACTGACTTGGAATTGGACATAGTGGTGTAAACTTTTGTTTTTTCATATAGCTAGAAAGAGGATATAGAAATTGCTAATAATAGGCTGGGCATGGTGGCTTACATCTGTAATCCCAGTACTCTGGGAGGCTGAGGCGAGTAAATCACCTGAGGTCAGGAGTTCGAGACCAGCTTGGTCAACATGCAAAAACCCATTTCTAAAAATACAAAAATTAGCCGGGCGTGGTGACCTGTACCTGCATCTGCACTTCTGGGATTCAAGTAATTCTCCTGCCTCAACCTCCCAAATAGCCCTGCCTCAACCTCCCAAGTAGGAGGCTGAGGCAGGAGAATCACTTGAACCCGAGAGGCAGAGATTGCAGTGAGTTGAGATTGCACCACTTCATTCCTGGGCAACAGAGTGAGACTCCATGTCAAAAAAAAAAAAAAAAAAAGAAAGAAAGAAAGAAAGAAAGAAAGAAAGAAAGAAAGAAAGAAAGAAAGAAAGAAAGAAAGAAAGAAAGAAATTGCTAATAGACATAAATTTAAATACATACTTATACACATATGCTTACATATATTTCCTAGTTCTATCCACTGAAAGCTCAGACCTAAAAGTGATGCCATTTCCATAGCAATGAACACACCCAGCACTCAGATTTTGGTTTCTCAAAATCATTTTTGAGTAAAAGAAACAGACTCATGGAAGAAATGGCTAATTCCAGAGCTGGGCCAAGGAAAGAACAAGATAGGTCTGGAACATCTATTTGTGCCAAAAAGTAAAAAAATAGATTAAAGAATAAACCCTAAAACTTTCTAGAGTGGGAAAACACCAGATCACCACAAATGAAAGTTTCAGAAGAAACCTATTATTTTTTTATTTTTTTTTTTTTTGAGACGGAGTTTCGCTCTTGTTACCCAGGCTGGAGTGCAATGGCGCGATCTCATTGGCTCACCGCAACCTCCGCCTCCTGGGTTCAGGCAATTCTCCTGCCTCAGCCTCCTGAGTAGCTGGGATTACAGGCACGCGCCACCGTGCCCAGCTAATTTTTGTATTTTTAGTCGAGACGGGGTTTCACCTCGTTGACCAGGATGGTCTCGATCTCTTGACCTTGTGATCCACCCGCGTCAGCCTCCCAAAGTGCTGGGATTACAGGCTTGAGCCACCGCGCCCAGCCCTAGAAGAAACCTATTCTTATATTCCATTGTAGAATTCTATATGGAACAAAAATATCAATCAAGTATGAGAGCTGAATAATGACTTCTTCAGACAAGCATGAACTCAGAAAGTTTATGTCCTACAAATCCTTCCTGCACTATTCAATTTTTTAAACCAATATATCTGTATTGCTTTGAAAAACATTTGAAATATTTTTTAAATAGGCTCTTCATACTCAACAGGGGGCAACGGGAGGACATTTAAGGTCTCTAATAATGTTGCTACCAAATCTCATTCATCCAGCTGTAATTGTAATTCTCCTTTACTGTTTTTAGTCTCTCTTTGAGTTCTGAGTCTTCTGGGATCAGGGACATCTTCGTTCCCTCCCTCCAAGCCTAGCCCAGGACTTAGCATATAATACTGTGTCAAAGAAGTGATGTGGTCACCAAACCTATTCCTTTTTGTTCCTGGGTATACAGATGAGGTATATTTTCCAACCCTTTGGCATTACGTTGGAGCCAGGTTACTTGCTGCTGGCCATGGAATGTGGGTGAAAGTAATTTGTACCATTTTCAGAATTGGTCCATAAAAAATCTCCCAATCCTCCTCTGCATCTCTTTGGTATCAAGCTTGGAAGCCTCGTGCCGAAAATGGTGGCATCCAAGATAGAAGAAGCCCCGGTTCCCAAATGAGTACATGGAGGATCCCAATACACACACCATCATCCCACTACTGACCCACACTGGACTGTGACATGAGCAAGAAATAAACTTTTATTAAATTAATCTTCTGGATTGTTTATTATAGCAGTTAGCATATTCAGACTAATGTAGGTAGGAACTCAGTACTTGCTGGAAACGTACAGGAATTTCCTGTAAGCCTCCTAGTAACAACTTGGCAGGTTGACTAGTCTCCACAAAAACAAAAAGCATTATTTCTTTCCAACTCACTCTTCCCATAAGCACCTTGTTTCCTGAGATTGTTCCTAATAACAGTTATCATTTAACTTGAAGCATTTACATAATGTTCTTATTGATGATAAGAAATACAGAAAATGTCTAATCAACAACTGTCTCCACACCTACCTATGAGATTTCAGCCATTTCCTGTAAGATGCACATATGTAGACCTGGCTCAATTTTTTTTCATCCTTCTTCTAAAATGTATATTCACAAATCACCTGGCATATATTAGGTTCTGTGTGAACAGGCGAAGATAAATAATAGATGTTCTCTTCCCTGATGATTCAGATGAGGAGAGGAAATTAAATAGCCATCTAACCACACCAGCAAGCAGAATGGGGATAGTGCTCAAACAAACAGAGCCCCCATGCTCTCAGGCACTAGGCTGAGAGTCTGCACAGGTGAGATCTGTCCTGCATCCAAATCACTTTGTCAACATGAGCAGGTCACTGGCCCTTTCTGATTCCCAGCTTCCATTCAGTAAATGAACAGTTTAGATGAATCAAATGGCAAATCTCCCCAGTGTGCCTAGGCATGGCCTCAGAATCATTTCTAACACAGAGCTCCAGTCCACCACTAATCTACAAAACCTACTAGCCATCCCTGAATTAGACATTTTCTAAGGTTCTCACCAAGCTTCTCCATAGCAAAAGTCAGAGAAACCAGGAGAAGATCCCAGAGAGATATGCTGTCTGAGCTCAGAAAGGGCTAAGACTAAAGGCTTTATAGAGAACTCAAGCCAGCCCAGGACATTTTTACAGAGCTCCATGGGAGTCCCATGTTTCTTTATAGTTTAGTGGGTAAGAACACAGACCTGGAAGCCAGGCCACTTGAGTTTGAACCCTAGTTCCATTTACCAACTGTCAAAAGTTTAGGCTTTGTCTCTAAGCCTGTTTCCTCAACTGCTCTTCTAAAGATTAAATAGGCTAGTGTTCATAAAGCCTCTGGGACAGTGGCTTGTGTGTATAGCAACCATTATATAAATGAATTAACCACTGCGCATCACAGCACTTCTTCACCCCATGGTGTGGTGACCAGGGTGGAGATGAGACTGAGAACTGTAGGTTCTGCTTACCAGTTTAAGTTAGGATTTCCCAGCCTTGACCAATGAGACCTTACTTGGAGGACCCCAGACCTCATTCCACTACCTCAAACACCCAAAATGAGACCTGACTTTGGGGGCTCCAGGCCTCATTCCACTACCCCAAGTGCCCTCTAGTCTCCAGATGAACAGATCCTGAATCTCCAGGTCCCACATGGCCTGTTCTAAGGCCTGAGATGGAAGTGGACACAAGACACATCCAGGCTTGAGATCTTTTGCTAAATCTGACACCGTGCCCCAACCCTGTGCTCATGTTCATGCCTAGGGAAAGGCTTATATCAAAAGAGCTGAACTTCTTCCCACTGGGGATGGGAGACCATTTCCTCCCTTAAACCTAGGTTCTCCCTGCTTTGTTCATGCCATCGTCAACAAACATGCAGGATATGAAATTGCTGAGGCATCACTGCTTTTCTACTTCCCTTTCAAATCTGTTTCCTCAAGTTAAAAAATATTTGGCCTCAGCGATCATTTCTCAACAATTCCCCACTGCAGGAGCCTCAGAAGCCTCTACCAGGCCAGCTCTCCTCCTGCAACAGCTCCCCACAGCATGAAGGTCTCCGTGGCTGGCATTACCTTCTTCCTCCTCATCACCATCACCCTAGGGACCAAGACTGAATTCTCCTCAGGTGAGTGCAATGCCTTGTCTTTCTTCCAATCTAGTCCCTGCAGGGAAATTAGCAGGAGTAAAGTTGCGGCTCATGGGGAGACCAGGAACGGGGACTCGAAAAGGAAGGCTGGCATCTTCTTGAAATTGTATGTATAGCAACCATTATATCTACTGAGCACCACAGCACTTCTTCACCCCATGGTGTGGTGAGCAGGATGGAGATGAGACTGAGGACCATAAGTTCTGCTTGAGAGTTTGTTAGGATTTCCCAGCCCTGACCAGTGAGACCTGACTTGGGGGACTCCAGGCTTCATTCCACTACTACAAATGCCCTCTAGTCTCCAGATAAACAGATCCTGAACCACCAGGCCTCACTCAAGTGGCCTTGGTCTCTTATCACTGCCCCCCAGGACCAGTCCCCCTTTCCCTGAAGGCCATGGAATGAGGCCAGCCTGCCCCTCTACTCCCTCAACTTCTCTCTCTTTGCCACCAAGCAAAAGAGTGGCCACCCCATTTGGGGGACATTTCCTCAGGGAGATTAGGAGCAGTGTCTTGAGCCTCTCAAGGGCGTTTTTCTATTAGCCTCCTAAGGTTTAGGCCCAGCCTGCTTCCAGCGTCACCTGTGCCCAGTGAGTGCAGCATTACTTGGGTATGGGCTGGGGGTAACACAACAGTGTGGGGTCCCTCCTAGGCCCACTTTTCTCAGCTGATTTCTTAGAATAAGCTGCCTTTAAAGACAACTAAAACTATTTCTCTCTCTTCCATTTTACCTAGTCTCCTTTTCAGAAACTGGGGGGAAACAGAAGGTTGTTAAAATATAGTGGTCTAAAGTCAGTGGGTATGTGCACGGTTTGACTTGCCTCTGCAATGTCATTTGGCAGCTCAGAGGAACAAGGAGGGAGAGTATAGGAGCTCTGATTGGGTCCCAGGAACCAGGGTACCCCTATGCCGCTCTTTGGATAGTGAGGATGCTGCCTGGAATGGAGCTGGCAAACAGGACCAAACTTTCCCCTTTCCACCCAGGCATCAGGCCACCCTCCGTGACCTCTAAGGCCATTGTGATGCACACCCACATTTCCATCCAGTATGGTCACATAACAGGCACACACCTGATTTCTCTACTCCATAACCACATGCGTCTGTTTATACAGGGCTCTTGGTCTGCAATGTCCTTCCTGCTACCTCTATAATTCAAGCTTGGGGTGACTGCTGTCACCTCCTTGCTTCTCCTTTAAGAACCATGAAACTTCTCAATCAGAAAATAGATGTAAAAACAAATCACCTAATCCGCTGATTTTTAAACTTTTTAGACCACAAAACTTTTCTTCAAGCAAGATCTTCCACGGAGGCCCAATAGTAAAACAGAAAAAAAAAAAAAGACTGAGTAGGGTACAAGACACCACTCTCAAATGCAGCAGAGCCTCCAAAACAGTCCCCAAGGCCCCCAGAGCTCCAGAGATCTCAGTGTGAAACCACTGATCCAGTCCAAGGGTCTCATTTACAGAGGAGGGAATGGGAGAAAGTTAAAAGGTCACAGTATAAAGGAAGCACAGGCAAGGTTGGATTAGGATTTGGGTGTCCTGACTCTGTGACCATTGTCCTTAGGGATGGGTGTGGGCATCAGGCAGACTGTCGGTTCGATGGCGACATGGGCAGGATGGAGCACTAGGAGGGGCTGGGTTTGTATTCCCAAATGGCATGTTTCCAAATCCCTGTGGGATTTCTTCTAAATACTCCTCCTATTTGGAGTACCTTTCCGAGTAAGGCACGAAGGCTGCATGATGTTGGCCAAGTCCCTAGCCTTCTCTGCTAGTCGGCCCCCAGAGATGGTGTGAGAACATCTGAGTGTGCTGCTCTTCAACCCTGGAGTTGAAAGACATCTGCCAGTTTTTCCAGGAGGAAGGGTGATTGCTGATGAGGGAGGAGGAGAAGAGGAGCTCGGTACTACTATGGAGAAGGTGAAGAGAAGATGAGGAAAGTCTACTCTCCCCTCCAAGTTCTGTGGGGCTGCCTCCTCCTTTCTTCCCTCCTCCATGCCCTCAGCTTGCAGAAGGAGCCAGTGGTATGGCCCTTAAGCAGCCAGTGGTATACCCTCCTCAGCATCCCAATGCTCTCTCCTCAGGGGGACCTTACCAACCCTCGGAGTGCTGTTTCGCCTACACTACTCACAGGATCCCCCGTCAGCGGATTGTGGCTTATTATGGGACCAACAGCCAGTGCTCCAAGCCTGGAATTGTGTAGGTTCACACACACACATTACACTGGGGAGAGAGGGAGCCAGAAGGGCCTCATTGGGGAGGCAGGGAGTGACCCGGAAATGGGGACACCAGCGTACCTCCCAAGTATGACTACACAGGGAGAGGCAGTTGAGTGGCAACCTGGGCACTTTCTGGCTGGAGCCTGCAGGAGCCATGGGGAAGCTGACTCCACAGATGGGGAAGTGACAGGAAGGGAGAAGAAGGCAACAGGGCACTTTCTCGGGGGGACACAGAGACTGATGGGTCTAGGGGTCCTAGGGGCTGAAGAGCATGTCTCAGAGAGGAGACTGGCTCTGAGCTGCTTCTATCAAAGAAAGGAGAAGCAGTCTAGGTTAGGTGGGGAATTTAGGAGGGAGGGAGGAAGGCTCTCTCTTCTGGCCACGGGGCCCCTTGCTTTGTGATCCTTCTCCCTCTTGCTCCACAGCTTCATCACCAAAAGGGGCAAATCCATCTGCACCAACCCCAGTGACAAGTGGGTCCAGGACTATATCAAGGACATGGAGGAGAACTGAGTGACCCAGAGTGGGTAGAGAAGGCAGAGCTAAAGAGAAGATGCCTCCTCCACCCATCCCTAACTCTCAGCCCCAGCCACCCTCTGGGAGCTTCCCTGCCTTGAATTAAAGACCACTCATGCCCTTCCCTGGCCTCATTCCTTTATACTGGATTTACTCATTGGCCGTGCACTGAGGACACCAGGGAGTCCAGCCTGGGTGTGACACCCTCAGCTTCAAGTCTTGCTCTGCAGAAGTTTCAATAGAGCCTGATACAAAAAAAAAAAAAGGTCAGGCCTGCAATGGGGGTAGTGAGAAAGAGAAAGTGGGAAAGAAAAGCAGTATGAAGACCATCTCCTCCTCAACAATAGCAGACCCTGTTTCCTTAGTGCTCTCTACACTCCAAGCACTCTGCTAGGCAGTCTGTGTGCATTATCTTACTTAAGCTTCATGACAAGTGTAAAAGATAAAAATCATTTGATTGTATAGGTAAAACTTCATAAAGACCTCTCTATAGCAGTCAAACTCCATAGTCCTTTTTCTGTGCTGTTTCCAAGGCCTTTCTTAGCTGCTGTCCAAGAAATGGACAGGAATGATTTATGAAGATGTTTTACCCAATCCCTCCCTTTTACTTACATACACCAGGTTATATTATATGACGACATTGTTTTACTAATTTCTTTTATCCACTACAAGGCTTAGCAGGTGTTCAGGAAATGGCTGGCTCGCTGGATAGATGAATGGATGGATAGATGGATGAAGGAAGGGAGGGATGGGTGATGGAAGGATGAAGGGAGGAAGGAATGAATGGAGGGATGGAGAGAGGGATGGACAGATGGATCGATGGATGGATTGATTAATGGATGGATGGAATAAGGCAGGAATCAAGAAAAGGCCTATGTTCCAAGAATAAGCTCTCAAACCTATCTTCAGGGCTCAAAGAGGAGCTCTGTGTACTTGGAATAAGAGCTTGCCTAGAGTAGGGATTATGACCACCCTTTCCTGGCCTCCAGCCTTCCACAGACAAGGGCTTGTGGGCCACAGTAAGGGCCATGTGGGGCCTGCATCCAAAGTTACAACCAGGCTTCTCAGACTTTGTCACCTCCATGAACAGAGATCAAGAGGATGCCCCACATATGTACCCTCACTCCCCTCACAAAAAGCTGCAGCTTCACCACCAGGTGAAGCCTTGAACTCACCAGGACTAACTGCATCATATGGTTTACCTATCTATAAGCAGTCATGCCAAGCAGAAAGCATTTGCAGAGTTCCTTTTCTTCCCCTTTCTCCCACTGCCCTCACTTCCTAAAACACATCACCTATGCCTCTAAAGCCCACCATCCATCAACAGCAAAATCCCCTATATCTTTGATCTCTTCTCTAAATGCTACCTTCAAGGCGGAAAAGGGTCCTGAGGCACCCTGAATACAGATGAGTCTGTGGAGCAGGTACAGCCAGAGCCCAGGCCAGAGGCGCCGAAGCTGGAGTCCTGGAGCACACATGCAGATTGTCAGGTACACAGAGTTGGAGCGTCCCCTGCTGGTCATGGTTGGCCATGGGGACAGGGTTGGATAAACCTGTACTCTGGGCACCCAGGAGGGATCAGCAGGCTGGCTACACCTAAAAATTCGTCCAAAGTCCAAGGTCCAAAGAGATAAATAAAAACATTAACAAATCAGTCAAACGGTCCAGCAACAAATGGGGATCCAAAGACCAGGCACATTGGTTTTTTTGGAGCATTATTAGCATAAGCTGTGACATGAAAGAGTGTGAGTTCAATCATGTGGCCTTGGACTGAGGAAGGGGCATATCCTTTTCAGAGGCAACTAAGCCCTACCCTTGCCTCAGTCTGGGCTCTGTAATCCTGCTTTCTGCTCATTCTCCCCAAGACTGGCCAACTAGGGGAAGCTGGGGTGGTTCCCCAACATGGAGGTGGTGGCAGGTAACATGGTGAAATTAAACAGATCTGGTTTTTCATCCTGCCTATCCACCCAGGTGACCCTGGGCAATTTATTTAGCCTCTAAGCCTCAGTAGTCCCAGGGAAGTAATAATGACTACTTCACTATTTTAAGCATGATGTAAGATAGGGCATTTAAGATAGCTGACACACAATTGCCCATTCCTTCATATGAATTCAAATTCTACTGAATTCAGCTCTGCACCAGGCCCCATCCTCTGCTGCCCTCTGTTTCAGCAAACACTGGGATCTGTTGTTTCTCCCCATCTACCCGCTCTGATGCGGTCAAGGTCCAGAGAACTGAGTAGTTGGCAAGCGGACGACCAACAGCAGACAACACGTTCACTCGGCTCTCTCTGGAGCTGTACTGCCCCACTGAGAGGATGAAGGTCTCCAAGGCTGCCCTGTCTCTCCTCGTCCTCATCCTCATCATTACTTCTGCTTCTTGCAGCCAGCCAAGTGAGTTCACTTGTCTCTGAAGCGCAGGAACGAGAAAGGAGGATGGAGCAGCTGACAGGGAGGTGGTGCCTGGGGCACTGTTGAGTCTCTGGCCTCATAAGCCCCCGTGGGCTCTCCCCACCTTCATGCATAGCTCCTGACCTCCAATTCTACCCTTTGTAAGTAGATATGGGGTTCGTCTGGATCCTTTTGGGGTAAGCAATTCCAGGAAACTGGGTCACCTTTTCCTCAGGAGTCCCAAGCGTGGCGAGCGGGAATGATCATTCAAGGGGAGAGGCCAAGAAAGTCGCAGAAAATGCAACAAGAAGTGCATGCAATGAAAGGGAGGGGGAGGCACATGGATGAGAAAGAAAAGCAGCAGGTACCCTGGAAGAGAAAGGAAGGTTGAAAAAATCATGTGAGTCTAAGCCCAGGAACTGGGAGGCTGAACCGAGACACCCCTTCCTCAAAGTGGCTGGCACAGGTTCCTGGGACTATCACACAACCAAAATGAGTCCCAGTGGGATGGCCAAGTGTGCTGTTCGGGAATCTATGGTCCCCTTCTCCATCCCCCAGCCTATGATACATAAAATCTGCAGAAAAGAGGAAAGGGGTTGAAAGGTTTAGGAGCTGGGGGAGAGGGAGAACTGGGGACTATGGAGGATGGGGTATGTTTTGCCCAACCATATCTTCTCTCGCTATCATTGTTTATGAGGACCTGGTGACAGGGACAGACAAAGATGAGTGATGGGGATGGACAAAATGCCCCAGCCATTCTCTTCTCTCTTAATGTCACCCTGACACATAGTCTGGCCTGACTCTGACTAGGCAAACACAAAGGAGCAAGGGTCAAGTGCACCATGTTCTCTACCCACATACTCTGAGATGACCCTGGTCTTTGTAAACTTTGCTTTGAGAACCAGTGACATGAACATCACTTATGGAGGGACTGTGTGGGAGGAGAAACAGCGCTCTTTGGGAGAGTCAATCAGGCCAATGCAGTGAGTTCAGGCTTCAAGGAGGAGAAAATGGCCCACTCAAAGCATGAATCAGCAAGATGGCACTCTCAGGAGGTCCCAAGCTTTGCCACTCACTGGAGGCGAACAGGTCAAGCTACAAAAAGATTTGTGCTCTGCAGGTGTGGCGACTGTGGGAGATCTCTGGACTGACCTCTTGTGTAGTGTCCCCAATTGATGGGTAGTCAGGACAGCTCAAAGGAAATGCAGCCACAATAACCAATCAATTCCAGTATCCTACACACATCAAGGCAGGGGGTAGCCATTTCCAAGGCAAGAAGAGCAATCATTACTACCACTGGCTCTTAATTATCATAAGCACTGGTTGAGCCTTTCTGTGTGCCAGGCTCTGAGTTAAGGGCTTTCCAAGCATTTTCTCACTGAATTCTAACCATGATCCTAGGATATAAGTATCATTTACCCCCACTTAATGGATGAGGAAGCTGAAACCTAGAAGATTAGGAAATTTACCCATGATTCAAGTCAAATCAAGTTACAATTCCAACCTAAGCTGTCTGACCCCAAAGCCTAAATCATATACTTTTTCCTCCGGCCTAACTGCTGTCTCCAACAGCTCTACTCTGTCACCCTTCCCCACAACCTCAGCCTCTCCAGTGCCTCTAAGATAGAGTCCAAATTCCTCAGTAGCTCAGCAGGTGTATGACCAGACCCTCCTCTCTCTTCAGTTTCATCTCTGCCCATTCCTTCCTTCTCACCTTGCATGCCAGCCATCCCAAACTGCCCAGCACTCCCAATCCACACTGAGCTTCCCCTACCTCAGGCTTTCCTGCATTTCCTTCTTCCAGATTTACAAGTCCTTCATGTGTCTAAATCCTTTTTTTTTCTTTTTCTTCTTTTTTTTTTTTTGAGACGGAGTTTCGCTCTTGTTACCCAGACTGGAGTGCAATGGCGCGATTTCAGCTCACCACAACCTCCGTCTCCTGGGTTCAGGCAACTCTCCTGCCTCAGCCTCCTGATGAGTAGCTGGGATTACAGGCACGCGCCACCCTGCCCAGCTAATTTTTCATATTTTTAGTAGAGACCGGGTTTCACCATGTTAGCCAGGCTGGTCTCGAACTTCTGACCTCAGGTGATTTGCCCACCTCAGCCTCCCAAAGTGCTGTGATTACAGGTGTAAGCCACCACACCCAGCCGTGTGTCTAAATTCTACTCAACCTTTACAAATCAATGCAGGCATCACTTGCTCTGGGACTTCCTCAACCACCAAGGCTGGGTTAGGGGCCCCTCATTCTGTTCCCACAGCACCTTATGCCAAAGTCTGTTCTATCCTGGACAACATTCTCTGGTAGTGTTTGTTTAACTTTTCACTTTCCCTTTTAACCCTGACTAGTTCTGTAAGTTACTTAAGGGTAGTGACTGTGTCTTCCTCATGTTTTTACCCCCATAGACCCCAGCATATAACACAAGCTCAACATACATTTGCCAGATCAAGTCACCAATAAACAAAAGAGTGAGGCAGCTTCCTCCCAGTTCCTTGGCAAGTGTGAATAACCAAGTCATTTGTAGTTGACACTCATCTCATAGGCTGAGGGTTCTAAATGTATGTCCCTGAGAGGGACTCATCTTTCTCCATTACCCGTCAAGCTATCATTGGTCTCCTCTAACAGACGGTTCTGCTATCAGAGGAGTGAAACACAAATGGTGGAATATACAGGCGGGCAGCTGTGGTCTCCCCTCCCTACTTCCCTGGCTCAGTTTGCAATGTGATTCCTTCAGAAGTTCCTGAGGGGGTGAACATCCCACCCACCTGCTGCCTGAAGTATAATGAGAAAGTGTTGCCAAGGAGACTGGTGATTGCTTACAGAAAAGCCCTCAACTGTTACCTGCCAGCAATCATGTAAGCACTTCCTTGTAGATATTTCTGTGGAGAGGGACAGAGAGCCAGGGGCAGAAATGGGATACATGGGAACAAGAGGTTTCCATGCTAGAAGCAGTGGGATAGTGGCTAAGGCCTCCATGCTAGAAGCAGTAGGATAGTGGCTAAGGCCTCCGTGCTAGAAGCAGTGGGATAATGGCTAAGGCCTCCATGCTAGAAGCAGTGGGATAGTGGCTAAGGTCTAGTGGGATAGAGGGAGGTTCCCCTCTCTGGCTGGAAGCTTTAAAGAAATAGGGAAGCTTTAAAGAACATAAGGTGAGCTCCATGTGAGCCAGAGGTGGGTGTGCACTGGACTGCTGCTTATGTCTACAGCCCATGACAGCCTAATTCTGTCTCTGCAGCTTCGTCACCAAAAAGAACCGAGAAGTCTGCAGCAACCCCAATGATGACTGGGTCCAAGAGTACATCAAGGATCCCAACCTGCCTTTGCTGCCCTCCAGGAACTTGGCCACGGCTAAAATAATACAGCAAAGAACAGCCAGCCCAAGCTCCTCAACTCCCAGGGATGAGCAGGCCTTAGTGGAAGCCCTTGTTTACGGAAGAGAGGGGTAAACCTATGAAAACAGGGGCAGCCTTATTAGGCTGAAACTAGCCAGTCACACTGAGAGAAACAGAATAATCATCAAAATAAAGAAGTATCTTGAATATTTTCTCAATCTCAGGAGGAAATACCAAAGTTAAGGGACGTGGGCAGAGGTTATGCTCATATATATATATATATATATACAGAGAGAGAGAGAGAGAGGTCTCACTCTGTCACCCAGGCTGGAGTGCAGTGATGTGATCTTGGCTCACTTGATCTTGGCTAACTGTCCTAGGCTCAAGTGATCCTCCCACTTCAGCCTCCTGAATAGCTGGGACTACAGGCTTGCAGCACCACACCTGGCTAATTTTTATAATTTTGGTAGAGATGGGATTCTACCATGGTGACCAGGCTGGTCTCAAAACTCCTGTGCTCAAGCAATCCACCTGCCTCGGCCTCCCAAAAGTGTTGGGATTATAGGCATGAGCCACCATGTCCAACCCGTACACTCTTAATACATAGGAAAATATCTTTCACATCTTTCTCCTGCTCTTCTTTCAATTCCTCACTTCACACCAGTACACCCAGCCATTCCAAATACGTAGCCAGTTTCCAACCTGCCAGGTGATCTCTGCCCTATGGGTCTTGACTCATGAAGAGCCCCACAGAACTCTTGATTTTTCTTTCCCATCTTTATGGACTTGTTTGGATCTACGTTTTCTTCAATTATTCTTTTATTTTATAATATAACTTTTCCATAGAAGGTTGAGATGGAAATATTCACATTAATCATCTTTGCAGAGGCTTTGCTAAATCCTCTCCTATTTTGTCTTCCTCAGGGTGGCATGGGTACAGAGAATGCCTGATTAAAAAGAGAAAAAGAGGCACAAATCTGTACCTCCCATGTTAAGCTTTGCAAGACAGGGAAAGAAAGGGGTAGACACAGCTAGGAGTAAACTCTCAGTCCAAAACCCAAGCATGCAATAAATAAAATTTTCTTTTTTTTTTTTTTTTTTTTTTTTTTGGGGGGGGTGGGGAGGAAGGCAGGAAGGAAGGGAATAAGGACGGTAGGGAGGAAGGAAGGGATGAAGGAGGGAAGGAAGGGAGGAAGTGGGGAGGGAGGGAGGGAGGGAGGGAAGGGAAGAAAGGAAATCAAGCAATGAAAGAGACATTGCCGAACTGGATCTAGAGGTTTACAAGTTGATTTCTTTTTTTTTGAGAGAAGGAAAGAAAAAAAAAAATAAGTAAAGGAGCGGAAGAAAGAGGAAGAGAAAGAGGGAGAGTAAATGGAAATATTGCTTTATTTTGAAAAAAATTGGGTATTATTAATGGCCAATCAATGTTTCATTTAAACTTATGGGTAGGTGTGATGTGGTATTGACAAGAATGTATATTTTGTGTATTTGAAGTGGAGAGCTCTATAAATATTTATTAAGTTTACTTGTTCTGGATCTGAGTTCGAGTCCTTGATATCCTTATTAATTTTCTGTCTCATTGAATCTAAGTCTCCTATCTGGGTGTTAGGATCGTTAGCTCTTGTTGTTGCATTGATCCTTTTACCACTATATCTTTGTTGCTTTAAAATCTATTTTATCCGATACAAGAATTGCAACTCCTGCTTTTTATTTATTTATTATTTATTTTTGCTCTCCATTTGGTTGGTAAATCTTTCTCCATCCCTTTGTTTTGAGTCTTTGTGTATCCTTGCACGTGAAACAGGTCTGGATGTAACATGCCGTTGGGTTTTGGCTGTGTCTTTTGATTGGGAATTCAGTCAATTGAAATTTAGGGTTACTGCCATTTGATGTTGACTGGCTGTTTTATCCATTTGTTGGTGTAAATTCTTCTTTATGTTGGTGCTCTTTACTTTTTGGTGTATTTTTAGAAAGGCTAATACTGGTTGTTTCTTTCTGTGTGTAATGCTTCTTTCAGAAGCTCTTGTAAAGCAGGCCTGGTGGTAATAAAATCTCTGAGTTCTTGCTTGTTCATAAAAGATTTTATTTTTCCTTCAGTTGTGAATCTTAGTTTGGCTGGATATGAAATTCTGGGCTGAAGGTTCTGTTCTTTGAGGATGTTGAATATTGGCCCCCACTCTCTTCTGGCCTGTAGAGTTTCTGCCGAGAGATCTGCTGTAAGTCTGATAGGCTTGCCTTTGTGGGTAATCTGACCTTTCTCTCTGGCTGCCCTTAGTATCTTCTCCTTTGTTTCAACCCTGGTGAATCTAACGATTATGTGCCTTGGGGTTGGTCTTGAGGAATATCTTTGTGGTGTTCTCTGTATTACCTGGGGTTGAATGTTGACCTGCTTTGCTAGTTTAGGAAAATTTTCCTGAATAATATCCTGAAGGGTATTTTCCAGCTTGGATTCATTCTCTCTGTCGCATTCAGGTACACCTATCAAACGTAAATTTGGTCTTTTCACATAGTCCCACATTTCTTGGAGACTTTGCTCATTCCTTTTTATCCTTTTTTCTCTAATCTTTTCTTCACGTTTTATTTCATTAAGTTGGACTTTGACCTCTGATATCCCTTCTTCTGCTTGAACAATTCGAGTGTTTAAACCTGTGCATACTTCTCGGAGTTCCTGTATTGTATTCTTCAGTTCCATTAATTCACTCATACTCCTCTCTAAGTTGTCTATTCTCAATAGGATTTCATCAAATCTTTTTTCAAAGTTCCTAGTTTCTTTAAGTTGGGCTACAACATGTTCTTTTAACTCACCGAAGTTTGTTATTATCCATTCCTTGAAGAGTGATTCTGTCATCAGGAGGCGCTCGTTCTCCATCAAGCCTTGTTCCATTGTTGATGTGGAACTGTGATCATCTTTAGAGGGAGAGGCTTTCTGACTTTGAGTATTCTCAGCTTTTTTACGCTGGTTTCTTCCCGTCATTGTAAATTTATCCTCCTGTTGTCTTTGAAATTACCAACTTTCAAATTAGGTCTCTTGAGTGGACGTCCAGGTTGTTAGTTCCCAGGGCCAGAGCAGCGGCGTTAAAACTGATGGTGCTTTTCTGCCCAGGATTCTCCTGTCGGGCTTCCTTCTTGTTTCCGTAGTAGGCGACTCTGCCTTCCCCGGGCTCCAAACCTCGGTCAGAAGGGGAACCGGTCCTGTTTACTCTGCGCCGAGCTGCCGCATCGAGGTGCCGGCGGAACCGCTGCGCCGACCACCAGAGTCGCGCTGGCGACTCGTGTGTTTCCACCACTGGGGGATCTTCTGCTTCGTGAGCGACCAGACTTTGTCTGAAAGTGTGGCGTCCTCTAGTTCTCCGCGCCTTCCCTGAGAGCTGCAATCCCGGGATGTTAGCGATCGGCCATCTTGGATCGTTCTCCCAATAAAATTTTCTTAATTGACAACTTGATTCTTAACTTCCTGCTTCTTTTCTGCTAGGGTGAAAGAAGCTTAATATCAGTTTTTTTCAGGGGCTTCTACACTTTTCTTGAGACTTTTGCCAAGGTTGTGGGTCATTTATATTCAATCTCCTCCCCATCCCCCACCCCGCTACCGCAGCTTAACAGCAGATGGCCAACTCAGCTCCCTCGAATTAAACGTTCTCCCAAAATGCTGTTGTGAAGACAAAACAAAAGTCAGGTAATTAACATTGAATAGTTAAGAGAAACAAATAAATGCTGTGATCAAGGTGAAAACAGGCCAATCAATTGGACTCTGGTAAACTGACTTATAACTGCCCCCCAGTGGCCATGTTGTTAAAACCCAAGCTGCCTCCCACCCCAGCCCAAGCTCATCTACACAGCACGGTCATCTCATCTAGCTGGCCAATCAGACTCTTGTAGAGATTTGAAATTTGGACCCGAGAAACTCAGTCTGCTTGCTGCTAGAGCAGAAATGAGTTTCTGGCAGTGTCCCAAGGAAAGAGGTCTATGAACTTTTGTCCTGAGGTCCCTGGAACTGCCTCACTTCCTGCCCCAGCTCCAGCCTGGGGGCTTCAGCTGCTCTTTCCATGAGATGCCCCAGCATCCTTCCTTTAAAAAAGTTTTCTAGGCCAAGCGCAGTGGCTCACACCTGTAATCCCAGCACTTGGGAGGCCAATGCGGTTGGATCACTTGAGGCCAGGAGTTTGAGACCAGCCTGGCCAACATGGCCCATCTCTACTAAAAATGTAAATTTTAGCTAGGTATGGTGGTGCATGCCTGTAATCTCAACCACTCAGGTAGCTGAGGCACAAGAATCGCTTGAACCCAGGAGGCAGAGGTTGCAGTAAGCTGAGATCATGCCACTGCACTCTAGCCTGGGCAACAGATCAAGACTCCATCTCCAATTAAAAAAAAAAAAAAAATCCTAAAGGGCCATGGTGGCAATTTAGCACCTCAGGGATAACTTACTGGTTTAGATCAGTTATTGGTGGGGGGTGGGGATGTATGTGTGTTAAAATATACACAGCAGGGGCTGGGCAAGGTGGCTCAAGCCTGTAATCACAGCACTTCCAGAGTCTGAGGAGGAGGAGGAAAAGGAAAAAGAGAATAAAAAGGAGGAGAAGAAGAGGTGGGCAGATCACTTGAGGCCAGGAATTCGAGACCAGCCTAGGCAACATGGCAAAACCTGTTTTGTTCTACAAAAAATACAAAAAAAAAAAAAAAAAATTAGCCAGGCATGGTAGCCTGTGCCTATGGTCCCAGCTGCTCAGGAGGCTGTGGCAAGAGGATCACTTAGGCTGGGGAGGCAGAGATTACAGTGAGCTGAGATCATGCCACTGCACTCCAGCCTAGGTGACAAAGTGAGATCCTGTCTCAAAAAATGTGTGTGTGTGTGTGTGTGTGTGTGTGTGTGTGTGTGTGTACGTATACACACATAACAGGGCCAGGCACAGTGGCTCATGCCTATAAACTCAGCACTTTGGGAGGCTGAGGCAGGAGGATCACTTGAGTCCAGGAGTTTGAGATTAGCCTGGGCAATATGGTGATATCTTATGTGTTTATCTCTATAAAAAATGAAACAAAAAACGATTAGCCAGGCATGGTGGTGTCTGCCTGTGGTCCTAGGTACTCAGGAGTCTGAGGTGGGAGGGTTGCTTGAGCCCAGGAGGTTGAGGCTGCACTGCAGTGAGCTATAATATCACCACTGCACTCCAGGCTGGATGACTCTAAAAATATATATATATTTATGT